AGTCTAGTCTATAGTCTAGTCTATAGTCTAGTCTATAGTCTAGTCTATAGTCTAGTCTATAGTCTAGTCTATAGTCTAGTCTATAGTCTAGTCTATAGTCTAGTCTATAGTCTAGTCTATAGTCTAGTCTATAGTCTAGTCTATAGTCTAGTCTAGTCTAGTCTATAGTCTAGTCTATAGTCTAGTCTAGTCTATAGTCTAGTCTATAGTCTAGTCTATAGTCTAGTCTATAGTCTAGTCTATAGTCTAGTCTATAGTCTAGTCTATAGTCTAGTCTATAGTCTAGTCTATAGTCTAGTCTATAGTCTAGTCTATAGTCTAGTCTATAGTCTAGTCTATAGTCTAGTCTATAGTCTAGTCTATAGTCTAGTCTATAGTCTATAGTCTAGTCTATAGTCTAGTCTATAGTCTAGCCTATAGTCTAGTCTATAGTCTAGTCTAGTCTAGTCTATAGTCTAGTCTATAGTCTAGTCTATAGTCTAGTCTATAGTCTAGTCTATAGTCTAGTCTATAGTCTAGTCTATAGTCTAGTCTATAGTCTAGTCTATAGTCTAGTCTATAGTCTAGTCTATAGTCTGGTCTATAGTCTAGTCTATAATCTAGTCTATAATCTAGTCTATAGTCTAGTCTATAGTCTAGTCTATAGTCTAGTCTAGCCTAGCCTAGTCTATAGTTTAGTCTAGTCTATAGTCTAGTCTATAGTCAAGTCTATAGTCTAGTCTATTCTATAGTCTATATTCTATTCTATATTCTTGTCTGAAATCTAGTCTATATTCTAGTCTATAGTCTAGTCTATAGTCTAGACTATAGTCTAGTCTGTAGTCTTGTCTACAGTCTAGTCTATAGTATACTATATTGTCTATAGTCTAGTCGCCTGTTGCAGGACAGTCTCACGAAGGTGAAGGGTCTAAAAATAAACTTACACAATTTGATGGTATTGTTTGCAAATTAACCGCGGGGTTCGAAAGTAATTGTTGCAAATCATATGATGCTGAGGGAGTAGTACTCCTTTGGGCGATATCAGTTGCTGAGGATATTTGTTGGGAGTCACACAAAGTTGTCGGTGTACGACATCTCTCTACAGCTACTATATTTAATGGTAATGGTGGGGAATCGCATGAAGTTGTTGAGCTAAGACTTTTTGAAGATATTTTTGAGAATCACATGCAGTTGTGGAAGTATGACATCTTTTAAGAGGGACTGAAAAAACAAATTACGTTTTATTACTTTTTTACCATTTTTCATTCTATGGGCATGTACTTACTTTTCCCCTTAATATCCAAAACAAAATCCAAATTACTAATGTATTGTGCCACAAAGCTTGTAAAAATATTGGGCCTTATTATAAATTCCTTGGAGTAAACTTGTATTTCGTAGTCTTCCGGCAAATTGTACGTTTTTCTAACTATAAATATAAAAGAAAATTATGTACACATGTGTGTAGAGACAATAAAACATATTCACAGTTCTTTCTATTATAATTCTTACTTACCCTCATCCAAAAATAAATAATAACTATCATCACCATGAAAATTTACTCCAACAATTTCCTTATTACTTTCAAACGTTGTTTTTATCAATTTAAAACCTTCCATTTTAGTTTTCTTTTAAGATTTTCCACTAGTGACGCTCAAAACTATGACATTTTCTAAATTGAGTATAATATTTTCTTTTAGCAACCATAAAACATTTGGTGAAAGCATAATATGTTTAAAAATATGACAGCTGCAAGTAGGTAGTGTCAGGCAAACAGCTGGTTTCTTGTGTTTGTTGTAATGATTACTTCCCTAACAAGAGACCAATTTTGACAGTTACGTTACACTAATTGTGTGTTTTGTATTGTTGTTTGTTAGCATCTTGTTTGTTGTGTCCGTTTTAAAGCAAACGTATTATGATTGCTTTTCTACTATACTTTGGTAGAGAACAGGGTTGGAAAATTCAGCACTATTTGAATATTGGCAACCATTTATAATTACTGCGTGTTAGTTTAATTATTTTTATAACTTTATTGTAACTAAAAGCAAATTTTTTAACGGATCGGCCCGTAAATGGACATAGCTTCCATATAAAGACCACTTCCGAAAATGAACTTAATCCTAAATAACTCATGAATTCGTAATAAAATTTTACATGAATGTGTTTGTGTACATACAATAATACGTGGCGAAATTTCTTCCTAACCGGCCGATAATTGATTATAGATCCCATATAAAGCGCCCCTTCGGAAAAGTTCTATACGAATATATATTTTATACTACAAATCATGCTGCGAACCATAATTGACCACTTCTCTGATATAAGTCCACTTCCGAAGTTCACATAATCGTAAATAAACTCATGAATATATAATGATATAATGGGATAAAAATAAATTTCTATAAACATTCGACATATCTATTAATAAATAAATCGTTCAAAGTTCCACAAAAGTAATTTGTTTTGGCTGAAGGCCCCCTTAAAGGCCCTATTCCGAAAATAACACGAGTGTCAATATGAAGTATTATCATATATGTATATGATAATAAAACTCATCATATCATAAGAAATATTATTATTTGTGTATGACTATCATCTCTAAATCTCAATTTTCCATGTCTGGTACACGAAGAGGTTATAGAGTTGCCACTATTTCAAATTTTATAACATAATTTCAGTAAAAAATCGCAAAAATATAATTGCAGCAAAAAGTTGTTTTTCGTTCTTATTAAAATTTTAGAAAATCGATATTTTATTCTTTCGAATTTTATTAAACTTGTACCAAGTTTTCTGAGCAAATTTTAAAATGAATTCATTGAAAGGTAATGTTGAGAGGCTAAGATATTGGCCAAGTTGGGAATGTCGAATAGACTATAGTCGAGATTGTTGGATAGACTACGATTGAATAGGCTATAGTCTCCAATAGTCGGGACTATACGACAAACTATAGTCGGGACTATAGAAAATTCTGTAGAACAGACTGTAGAACAGACTATAGTGAAGACTATAGAACAGACTATAGTGAAGACTATAGAACAGACTATAGTCAAGACTATAGAACAGACTATAGTTGAGACTATAGAACAGACTACAGTCGAGACTATAGCACAGACTAGGGTCGAGACTATAGAACAAACTATAGTTGAGACTATAAAACATACTATAGTTGAGACTATACAACAGACCATAGTCGAGAGTATAGAACATACTATAGTCGAGACTATAGAACAGATTATAGTCGAGGCATAGAACAGACTATAGTGGAGACTATAGAATAGACAATAGTGGAGACTATAGACCAGAATATCGAACATATTATAGTTTAGATTTTAGAACAGGTTATCGTCGAGACTACAGAACATACTATAGTCGAGACTATAGAACATACTATAGTCGAGACTATAGAACAGATTGCAGTCGAGACTATATAACAGATTATAGTCGGGACTATAGACCAGACTATAGTTGACACTATAGTCAAGACTATAAACGAGACTATAGAACAGTCTGTAGTCCAGTCTATAGTCGAGATTATACAAGACTAAATAAAAGACTATAGCCAAGACTATAGAACAGACTGTAGAACAGACTATAGAATACACTATAGTCAAGACTATAGAACAGACTATAGGATATACTATAGTCAAGACTATAGAACAGACTAGGTTCGGTTGATAGACCACTATCGGGCCTGTTGTGCGCTCCTTTTCATGAAAAAAATCTTTGCTAAATGTATAATTTTTTAATGTTCAGAAACTCAGTTTCCTGGACGTAATTCCTAAGAATCATCCAATCAGTGGAATGTTATTTCCAGAATAGCATCACTTCCAAGATACTTAGATCTAACTTCGACGAATGCCTGACAGTGGCAAAGAAAGTGCTCCCGAGTTTCACTGTCCTCTACACATGCACTACATTCGTCTGAGAACGTACGTCCAATTTTGCATAGATGTGTTCGTAATCCTGTGTGTCCACTCAGAATACGTACCATCATACAAACTTCAGGCTTGCTCTTTTGAGGAGATTTCTCGTGTTGCTCTCATCAGGGTCTCCCCATAGGATCTTTGTGGTTCTACCCACAGTTTCATTATTACAAGAGGCCTTATGGGATTCTCTCACCCATATTTTTAATTCAGCTTTTGTTGCGACGAATGGTTTTGCGTTTGTCAGGTTAACTGCCTCGAGCTCCCTTCCCTCTAAAGCTATTACATTCGCCCTTTTGTTGCCGACTACTCCCGAGTGGCCTGGTACCCATATGATGTAAAATTTTACTTTCATTGACCGTTTAAAACATCATCAGTTTCTGTTCCGTACTAAATGTAGTAAGATGTTAATAATTTTGAACTCAAACAAGGTTTAGTTATTTAGAATAGTTTTTCTAATTATAATAAAGCAATCATTTATCTACAAACATTTTTATTATATGTATGAAAAACTTTTCTACTAAAAATATGTACATATGTATATAAACATTTACACATACATATATAAAGAATATGTTTGTAATAATAGCCGTTGCTTGAACAATGCACAGTGGGGCAGAATGGAAATTTTTTGGAAATAAATCTGGCATTTCTAAACGGCTGATCCGATCGGGATAAAATTTGGCGTGAGCGTAGCCAAGGAGTATTCGAGTTTAAGTTTTGAAGATGAACCCTGCAGATGCCCCAGGGACGGCGCTGTGGCGGCTCAAAGTAGGGTACCTACGACATGTAAAATTTTTAAACTCGTGCCATTTTTTTGTTTTTCACCCAAATACAAAGATTTTTATATTTTGTGAAAGCGCTCGACGAGATCTTGAAAAAACATGCTTGGACATACTACTTATCTCTTATAATATCCGAGTTATAGGCATTTAAAAATTTAGTGATACAAAATTTACCATACCTTGGTCCGCCTTTTTTTGAATACCGGGCGTAATTTTGGACCAAATGGACTCAATTTTTTCTTGTTAGTTAGACAACAAAATTTCCAATAATATACAAAAAATTTCAGATCAATATTGTTTACAGATCCAAAAATATACGTTTTTTAATTTAAAAATTCAAAAAATTTTAGATTTTTGGCGTTTTTTTGCCAAAAATGTGTCTTAACTCTTTTATTAATAAAATAAAATTTTTATTAAGAACATATAACAATTTTATAGTTTTCTAAAAGGTATCTTACGCAGAACGCTTTGGCGTAAAAAACTTGTCCTATTTTTTGAAAATGTTGCCACTGCGTCCTTCCGAATATGACCTATTTTTTATCAAAACTTCAACTTTGGGCGACATGTTCTAAAATCCCAAAGCTGGGATCAGAAGACTGAAAGCAGTTTTGGAAACCTCAATATGTTTTCTATTTACTCCAAAAGTATTTTCCCAGCCCTGAAAGAAATGTGGACCCTATGGGCAAAAAAGTAAAAAATCCCATTTTTGGGATTTTCATTCCTATTTTTGGGAATTGCGGGATGCCCTTTGACCTTTTCAATTTTTTTTTTTGCATATTCTTATTTGAAAGGACAAATTTAACAAGCGTTGAAAATATCATTGAGTTTTGTTCATAAATAAAGATTTTGTTATATATTACATATTTGTTTAATTTCTAAAACTATGATTTATATCAAAATTTTAATAGGATCGCAGATAGCTACAACAATTTAGTCCATATTTATCCCTTAATATCATTTTTTAGTTAGATATGGAAATTCTCGACCCTTTACAAAAATTTCAAGCCAATATCTCAATTACATTCAAAAATATGTTCATTTAAACCTGTGTCCTTTAATTTCATCTTTTTCATATTTTAGTATTAAGTATGACAGAACATACATTTGGTGTTGAATAAAATATTTGGACAATTTTTAAAAATTATTTAGTTAATTATTTTATTATAATATTGTATATAAAATAAAAAAAAATTATAATTTTATTATGAGCCACGCACAACAACACCTAAATCACCCCACACAAATTACCTTTCCCGCCCACCGAAATATAAAACACAATTTAATACAATATCATCAGTTAGTATAATAGCTTTTTTTATTTGAACTGTTTATCTTAAACATAATACAATTAATTCTTACAACCTACTTATATAGTTAATTCCTAACACTACTTATTTTCTATAAATAATCTGTCATATCGGTATACATATCCAGAAGGTAATATAAGTCCTTTAAATCTTCCTTGTTTTGAGATGATAGAGTTTCATAACAAATCCATCTTTTTCGCATAGTTGAAAGAACAGGATCAGAAGATAGAAGTAAACTATTAAAAATACCTTCATTCTGTGATTGCCTGGAGCATTTTCTTGAGCTGAATAGTTGAACATGCTTAAAATCTCGATTCCTCGCTTCCTGGGCTTCTTCTGTTAACTCTCCAAGTGGAAGAATATTCGATTCAATTATTATTTGACCATGACACAATACTTTGTGTACTGTTGGTGTTAGTTCCCTCCATGGATACAGAGATACAAGTAATTTAGAAATTTCAGATGTGTATTCCCCAAATCGATTTTCATTAATTTTATGTTTACTATTCAGTGCCATTAAAATAGTTTTAACCCTTCGAAGCAACTCCTTGTCGATTCCAGTTATTTTTGAAGTAATTTCAAAATCACGAAAAAACCTTCTCGACGTATTACCGTCATTTGTACTACCGCAACTTGAAAGTGGTTTGTCGATGTTTAATCCCATCTGAACTTTAAATTCTTCTTGGATTCTGCTTTTTTCCGCAGCTCTCAGTTCTTTCAATTCTTCATT